TTTTTTTTTTAGACAGGGTCTTGCTATGCAGTTCAGGCTGGCCTTGAGCTCATTTTGTAACCCAGACTGGTCTGGAACTTGAAGTGATACTGCTGCCTCAGCCTCCTGAGTGCTAGGATTACAGGTGTGCACCACCATGCCTAGCCTTTTATCTTGTGATTTTTAACTCATTCTTTGTATTCTTTTGTTCTCCCCCCAACCCCGTGGTTGTAGTGGACACTGAACTCAGGCACCCTAACACAGAGGTACATTTCCAGCCCTTGGTTTTTTTTTTTTTTTTTTTTTTTTTCCTCCGGTACCGGGAACCGAACTCACGACCTTGCGCTTGCCAGGCAGGTGCTGTGCTGCTGAGCTAAATCCCCAGCCCCTTCCAGCCCTTATTTTGAAACAAGGCCTTGGTAATTGCCTGAAGTGACCTTGAACTTCGAATCCCCATCTCAGCCTCCCAAATAGCTGGGATTATATGCATGTGCCACTGCACCCAGCTGTTTCTGATCTCTTGGTCTCTGGTGATGAGAAAGAAAACAAACCAAGAATGACATCATGAAAGTAGATGACAGGGGATCAGGTGTTAGGGGAATTCACAGGGCTGAAGTTGAACTTGCGCCACTGCCCGTCCTGTGGAAGGCCTTCCGGATCCTCCTGGGCATTAACCTGAAACTCTCCGAAGGCCTTTCACAGGCACAGCCACACCAGGTACACTGGCACATGCCTATAATCCCAGCACCGAAGGAGGGTGAGGTAGGAGGATCCCAAGTTTGAGTCTCATCTATGCAATTAGCAAGGCCTTGTCTCAAAAAATAAAGAGCCAGGCAGGGGTCAGGGAGATCGCTCAGCGGCACAGCACCTGCCTAGCAAGCACAAGGCCCTGAGTTTGATTTCTAGTACCCAAAAAAAAAAAAAAAGACGAAAGTTACCTAATTGTTGGGAGACCTTTGCTGAGGCAGTTTCCCACAATCCTCTTGTGCACCTTTGCCCACTGGATCTCACATATCCTTGAAAGCTCAGGTTATTTATTATCTGGTTTCCTTGACTTCAGTTCTTCAACACTGAACACCTGTGACTTGCTGGGCCAAACACAATGTTATTTTTTTGCACTCACTGCTTCAACAGGACACCAGGGCCAGGATTGCAGGCTGGGGAGAGCTGAGGACCAGTGGGAGTTAGCAGAGCATGGCAGTGGGGGTGGGGAGTGTCACAGAGGGATCAGCAGATTAAAAAATAACAGAGGCAGAATGCAAAGCAGCAGTTGAGCAACAGAAAAGGAGCCTTGGTGGCTATGGCTGACCCCTGCCCTCAGAGGTGCCCCCACACGAGGCCAAACCCCCTTCTGGCACTTCTCTGGGTCAAGCAGGATGTCAAGCCCCTTTTCCCAGTGATGGAGGCAGAGGCCAGGCTCACTGTGGACATTCACTGCCTAAGTAGCCCTTTTGCTGACCTAAAACAAAACCTGGGACAAAGCCAAAGCCTTGTCCAGTTGGGGTAAAGGAGCACCTACAATTCCCTGAGGTCCACATCGGGCCTGCCTCAGAGTGAGCATGTGTGCACAGTACGAAACAAAGCAGAGCGATCCTAACTCCTCAATTTAACAGCCTCACTCTCTGCAGGACTGTATTTTTTTGTTTTGTTTTTTTTTTTTTGGTTTTTCTCCGGTACCGGGAACCGAACTCACGACCTTGCACTTGCCACGCAGGTGCTTTTGCCGCTGAGCTAAATCCCCAGCCCCATCTCTGCAGGACCGTAAACCATCTCTTTAGTTCAAAATTCAAAATACAGCGCAGGAAGGGGAGAAGTTCCTAAAAATGCCTCATTTACCTACCACCAAGGGCTCAGGTGGTTCTGAATTCCATTCAGGGGTATTTCTTGGACCAGGTACTTCATGAATCCCACTACCTCTATTGAGTCCATAGGTTTTTTTTTTTGGTACCAGAAATGGAACTTGGGACCTCAAGCTTGCCAGGCAGGCACTGGACCAGAGCTATATCCTTGGCCCGAGTCAACAATTTTTAGATGACTGAAACAAACTGCTAATGTGGAGAACTCCCACATGGGGAAAGTGACTACCAGGAAATAAACACCGACTTTATTAATACAATAGCAACAGAAAGAGGTTCCAATTTTTCAGAAGAAAACTAACCTGAAACCTTCACCAGGTGGTGTTACAGGATTAAATGCTTGTGTCACGCTGACTGTTCTGATAGCTCCCTGACACACTCCAAAGGGTCATCAAGGACAACTGCCATCGAGCTGAGCTGCTGAGGGACATGCTAGACACTAGGGGAGTAGCTTCACAGTCAGCCCCATGTCACGGGATCAGAAGGAAGGGACTCCTGCTAAAGCTCCTGGAGTAGAGAGAACACATCAGTGAGAGAACAGAGCCTTGCTTCTCAAGAGTTACGGAAAACCATGAACCAATCTGTCAGTTCTCCCTGGGTGGCGGGCAGCATGCTGTGAAGAATCCTCTTCCAAGCCCACCCCAGCCCACGCCGAGGGAGGAGAGGGTGGCGAGGTGGCAGCACGCTAGCAGGCGGGTGGGTGCGGCGGCACGGGCTGGGCTCTCTCTGCTGGTGGGTGTGGGTGTCTTTTCTGGCAGCTGCAGCAGCTTGATGGGGGAGGCAGGGGCCACCTGCCAATCACCTCTTCTTGAAGCCGTATTTTTTGCGTTCATAGAAGAGGTCTGTCTTAGAGCTCCCCAAGTTGACGATCTTTGGGCAACCATCTCGCTGGGAAACAGAAAAATAAACAAACTGGTATGTCTTCAAGCCTGAATCAAGAGGGACTGAAGAGAAAACTTAGTCATAGGATGAACAAAGCTAAACCCTTCACCTTAGGACTCAAAGACCCCACAAGGGCTGGGGGCGTGTAGCTCTTCCCTACTATGTATTAGGCCCTGGGTTTTATCCCCAGCACCACCTCTTGAAACAAAAAGAAAACAAAAACCACACCAATAAATGGGTTTGCACGTTGTACAATCACCCCTAGCTCCTTAACCAAGCAGCTCAGATCAATCAGCACCACTTCACCCCTTTGCCGTTTTCAATAGCCACTTGATAACTACTGGGCTGATGGTTTTGTTCTTGTCCCAGTTAGCCTACTTGACTCATGAGCAATAATGTATTTTTTGTTTGTTTGTTTTTTTTTTTTTTTGGTTTTTCTCCGGTACCGGGAACTGAACTCACGACCTTGCGCTTGCCAGGCAGGCGCTTTGCCGCTGAGCTAAATCCCCAGCCCCGCAATAATGTATTAAACATCTAAAATAATCAAAGTATGTTATGTGCATGTATAGATCTGCCAGAATAAAACCCATTAACCTGTACACCCAATATGCACTAATAATTCTTTTTTTTTTCCTTTCTCGGTACTGGGAATCAAACTCAACCTTGCGCTTGCCAGGCAGGTGCTTATGCCACTGAGCTATATCCCTGGCCCAGTATGTACTAGTAAGAAAGACGTGAGAAACAAGATGTGAGAAACAAAGCGTGTAGTGCTTCCCCAGGGTCTGGCTGCTCTCCATCTGTGACTGTAGACACAATATAGCTGAGGCAGAAAAAAAACCTTTTTTTTTTTTTTTTTTTTTGCGGTACCGGGTTTTGAACTCACGACCTTGCGCTTGCCAGGCAGGCGCTTATGCCACTGAGCTATATCCCCAGCCCCCCTTTCTTTTTTTTGAGAAAGGTCTTGCTCTGTAGCTCAGGTTGGCCTTGAACTCACAGAGATCCTCCTGCCTCAGCCTCAGCCTCAGGAGGCCCAGAGGTTGCTGGGCGGCACCAGGCAGTGGGGGTCCTCTCTTGGGAGGGCGCAGCCTCTGGGGCAAGGTCACCTGACCCTGGTAGGGTAACCTCCCTCGGTCTCTGTTTAGTGACATATGAAGTGACTACAATGGGTGAAGCTACCTGAGAAAATGGAAAGGATTAAACGGTTCGATAGACATGTTTGGAACAGCCCTTGGCATTCAGTCAGCCCTTCCTAAGTTACAAGAAACTGCCCAAAACGAACATCAGCCATTTCTACCGCCAGGCCCCGCACTGCAAAAATAGGCAAGCAGCTGGAAACCAACGTACTACCCTAGCTCTTCCCAGCCTCTTGGGCTTCACTATTTCCTCTCACTCACACCTTTCTGATTTTTTTTGCCTAAATTTCCCTGTTTGTTCTTTTTTGTGTGTGTGTCTTTTTGAGACAGGGTCTTGCTCTGCAGCTCAGGCTGGCCTTGAACTCACTTTGTAGCCCAGGTTGGTCTCGAACTCACAATGATCCTCCTGAGTGTTGGGGTTACAGATGTGCGCCACCACACCTGGCTTTTTTTGGTTTCTTGAGACAGTTTCACTATGTAGTCCAGGGTGGCCTCAAACTCATGGAAGTCCTCCGGCTTCCGCCTCCTGAGTGCTGGGATTACAGGCGAGGGCTACCATGTCTTTTTTTTTTGTGGTGCTGGGTAGGAACTCGGGGTCCCAGGCGTACTAGGCTATGCAGGTGCTCTACCACTAAGCTACTCCCCCCAAACCCCTCTAAAAGCTTTTGAGTTCCTATAAGGTATCAGGGGCTAGTCTCCATCACAATATGTTTCTAAAACACACCGGAGAACCCTTGGCTGGGTGATGGCAAGGAGTCCTCGGTGACCTTGGGTTTCCCTTCTGGAAGGGGCTGCTTCGATCAAGTCCGTTCTGTGGCAGCCAAGCAAGTTACAAAAATTACCCTGGACTACTGGCAAAAATGCAGGGCTTTCAAGCAACACTTTAAAACCAACACAAATCCTGCACTAGAGAAAAATTTGTACAGAACTGAAGAGTGGGAAAGGCAATTTAACAAAAGTGAGATTACAAAAACAATTACTGAACGTGAGTCAGCATCACTGGTAACAAATTAGGAGCAGATGCCAGAGGCAGACCTGCTTTGTCAACAACACAGAAGGTGAGGAGTTGTTTATCCCCTTGGCAACTGTTCCACGAATACCCACGAGGTGAAGCCCAGACTGGGGCGCCAGCACGGGGCCTTCCCAGCAGCACATCTTGTCTGAGCCTGTATTCTGCAAGACTGTTCTGTACCTAGCCCTTTTTTTTGTTTGTTTGTTTGGTTTTTCTCCAGTACTGGGAACCGAACTCACGACCTTGCGCTTGCCAGGCAGGCGCTTTTGCCGCTGAGCTAAATCCCCAGCCCCTGTACCTAGCTCTTCATGCACGCACCCATGGGACAACACGAACTACTACTTGTTTTTCGAGATGTTTCCCCGAGGCCACACAGCATGTGAGCAGCGAAGTTAAGACCTGAACCTGGGTTTTCTGCCTCCCAGGCTGGTGTTTTTCTAGCAGCACTTACCAGAGGCAAAAAACACAACTTTACTATGGCTTAGGAAGTTGTAGAGAACAGTAAATTTGTGAACCAACTTTGTAAAATTTCCAGTTTTTTTTCATCGAACTGCTCTGTTGTTTATTTAAATGGGACAGTGAGATGGTAGAAATAGCAAGAAAAGGGATGGGGCACATCCCTCCCCAGCCTGAGCAAAGAACAATGAGACGATAAAAACACAACAGTTAGACTACACATCCTCCACCAGGATGATCGATACTGCCCCCAGGGGTGGAAATGTCTTCAATCTTACAATGACTTACCATCTAATGCTCATCCCTGCCCAACAAGATCTAGTTCCTCTCAGCTGTTTATTTTTGGATTCTGGGCATTGAACCTGGGGCCTCATGCATGCCATGTGGGCGCTCTACCGAGCTACAACTCAAGCCCTTTCCCTGTCTTTTTAATTTAAAAAGCAAATTTAAACCAAACTGTGTGGTGTCACAAGCCTGTAATCCCAGCACTCTGGGAGGCTGAAGCAAGAGGATCGAAAGTTTAGGTCCAGTCTGGGCAACTTAGTGAGACCTGTCTCAAAATAAAGGATAAAATTTAAAAAGAGAGGTTAAGGATGTGGTGCACGCCTGTAATCCCAGCACTCTGGAGGCTGAGGCCGAAGGAACATTGTGAGTTCAAGACCAGGCTGGGCTACAAAGTGAGCTCAAGGCCAGCCTGAACTGCATAGTAAGAGCCTGTCTCAAAAAGACAAAAAAAAAAAAAAAAAAAAAAAAAAGTTCTTGTTTCAATCCCCAGCACAGAAACGAAAAAGTGGCAAGGCATGGGGGGCACATGCTTGTAATTCAGCATTCTCAAAGGCTGAGGCAAGAGAATCACAAGTTCTATCCGAGCCTGGGCATCAAAATTAGTGGGACCCTGTCTCAATATTTAAAAAAAACGTGGGGCTGAGAACGCAGCTCATTGTGAGGGCCCTGGGTTTGAGCTCCAGTACAAAAAATAAAATAGTGCAAAAAAAAAGTTGAACAGCTGTTTTTCTTACTCTGGCTGGGAGAGCTGAGGAAAATGGCAAATTAAAGGAATAAAGGAAATAAGGGTTAAGGGTATTAGCATGCTGCTGAAACAACTTAGTCCTCTGGTACCAACACGCACAGCTATCGTTCCTAACTCCTGATCGCTCCTGTGGCTTTGAAAAAATATAAATGAGGACACCCAGCTTAGCTTACTCGTCCAATTCCCTTATAAATTATGCAAGGTACAGGAAGAAGAGAATAATGGGGGTGGCTTTTGTTGTAGGAAGATTTCTCCATAGGAAAATGCCTTGAGCACTTAATCTTCGCGATGATCTGTAAGGATGAGAGGCTAGATCATGTCACTGGACTGCTTTGTGTTCCTTGGAAACTAGTGCTGAATGTGAGCTGGACGTCATCTCAAATATCCTCAAGAACATTCTTGTATAATGTGAAGTTGGGGAAGTGACATCTAGAATAATTCTCAGGGATAGATATAAAGCATGAGGATCCAAAGATATCAGGTCACACAGCGCATGCAGACCAGTCAGATGGCAATTAACACTTATTAAGCATTCTCTGGTTGCAAGCTTATGCCAGATTAAAAACTCTAGCTATAACCGTGCAAAAGTTCAAGAAAGTGTTGTCCTTAAATGGACTCTAGCTAGTATAAGATTTGTGCATTCCTTCTCTTCACTGCTTGTAGACTGCAAGTTGTAGTTATCAACACCTACTCTGCATCAATGTCTCTAAGGGAGACTCCTACTAGCATAGATAATTCAAAGGGGCAGCATAAAAAAATGTCTACCATGCTTGCCCTTGAAGTCAGTCAGGCACTGTACAAGACCTGGGAAATGGAGAGACAAATGCAAGAACCAAGGTCCGTCCACTGAAGGAGTATTACCTAGCTCATGGGTCAGAGCCACACTCGTAGAACACAGGAAATGATCTGACTGTCAAGGTAAATGCAAATCAGAGCTTAGAACGGCAGGATGTTCAAATTATTTTTTGGGACTTAATCTATGACTTTTCTCATTTTCCTAAACAGGTTCACTGGTGGAAGGAAGTCTTATCTGGTCTAGTATAGACTGCTGAAGTGAACGGGTTGTTTTTCCTCAACATGGGCACAGGTCCAAAAGAACTTATGAAAGGAAAGGACAACATGGTGTAATGCGGACACAAGGTTTAGTCAGGCTAGCTTTGCCACTTATTATTAGCCAGGAGAAAACTATAAATATGAGACAGATAATAATAATCCCTATTTAACAAAATTATTGTGAGGAATAAGAGAGATAACATGTACAAACTACCTATTCCTTGCTTTGTTTTTCTTCCGGTACCAGGAATCGAACTCACGACCTTGCACTTGCCAGGCAGGTGCTTTGCCGCTGAGCTAAATCCCCAGCCCCCCTATTCTTTGCTAATGGGAATAGGAAGAACTAGGTATATGTTTTTTGCCTTATCCTAGATTAGGTAACTAACCATGTTCTCTCTATTTGCCTAGAGGGAGGGGGACTACATCAGACTTCCTTTGGTCATAAGATGAAATGAGCTGATTCACATTCCCTGTCTCCTCCACCTCCCTCGCACTGCTGCTGTATTAATTTAAAGAACAAGGGTACAATGTGCCTTTGACACTGATTTAGAAGCCCCTCCTCTCTTGGCCTTTGGTGCAGGAACTGAATAACTAGACAAGCCAGGTACACCTGGTACACGCCTATAATCCCAGGACTCTTGGAGGTTGAGGCAGGAGGATCAAAGGTTCCAGCATGGGCAACTTAGTGAGACCTCTTAAAATAAAAAATGGAAATGGACTGGAAATGTAGCTCAGCGAGAAGAGCCTAGTTTCAATCCCCAGTACGGGCGTGTGGGGTCCAGCACTACGTAATGTCAAAGAGCAAAAACATGAGGAAGACCCACAAGCGATTCTGCAACATTAAATAAAGATGTTCTTCAGCATAAGGCTGAAACCAACTTGAATTATCCCAAATTCAATTCTGCCACCACACTGATCCAAGCAATCCTGAATGAGGGATTTAAGAGAACTACTGACTGCCTATCATACACTATGCACTGTGTTACAGCTTACAAATGCAGAATATTGTCCCTGAATAAGAATATTCACAAAAGAACATCAAAGGTGCAGAGAGAGGGCTCTCCAAATTGCTGGTGTTGACAAAGACTTGCTTCTCTTGCATTTTGGAGAGAGGGCTCTCCAAATTGCTGGTGTTGACAAAGACTTGCTTCTCTTGCTTCTCTTGCCCTTGATGCAAAATAGCTGACCTTTATTGGACAACACCCAGTTGGCTCATAGAATTTAAAGCTATTACAACCTAGGTAACTAGCTGCTGAACATAGTAATCTCCACAGACCAGAGGACACTGCTGTGGATAGCAAAGTATGACAAAGTAAGAGGAAGGAAGGCCAGATGAAAGCTCTGTATACTCACGTCCTTCTCCTGGATGGTGCACTCTTTACAGTAATAGGCATCAGAGACTCCAGGGCCTCCGCAGATCACGCAGCGCCCCTGGTAAGAGCCATAATTACACTCATCACATATTCGCACCAGGGTGCAGGGACGCACATAGGAGTCACAGATTACACACTTGCCGTCACCTGTAAGGAAAAGAGAATAGAGGCAGGTTCACTAGCAAGTGCTTCAAGCCCTTTGGCCTCTCCTGCTATGAGGCAGTGACTCTGGGGCCCTCTTCTACTTTGGCATCACGAAAACTTGTCTTATTTAGTGTACATCTCAATCTGCTCAACACATACAAAACATTAATGAGCCAGGCATGGTGGTGCATGTTCCTAGTCTCAGCGTTCTGGAAGGCTAAGGTAGAGGATCAGAAGTTCAAGCTCACCCAGGGGAACTTAGCAAGAACGTCTCAAAATAAAAAAAAAAAATTTATAAAGGGCTGAAAATGTGGCTCAGTGCAAACGCCTTGGGATTTTGCCTTTTTTTTTTTTTGTACCAGGAATTAAACTCAGGACCTCACACTTGCCAGACAAGCGCTGTGCCACTGAGATACATCTCCAGCCCTAAGTTGAATTCCCAGTACCATAAAGGAAAAAAAAATTAATAAATTAGTATATGTAAAGGACTCAGAACAGCACTTGGGAAGTTACAAATCTATGTAATCGCTGGCAAAATTGTGTGTGTGTATGGTTCATGCTACTCTGGCAATTGGCCATGTCCAGCGCTAGAGATTTTTCTCAAAATCTAGTGTTTCAATGCACAAGTCGGAAAGGGAAGTTGGAGGCTCAGCCAGACATTCACATTCCTGTATTTCCAGGCACATCTATTCAGAGCTTTCTTTGCAGCACCTCTGGAAATGCCCCTTTGCTGGCTTCATAAAAACAGTGAAGGAGCAGGGTGTTGGAAGGGTGTGTTCCACTCACATTTTTCACACAGTCTTCCGATGGCTGCAAAAATCAAAGGAGGGAAAGAGTACAATTAGAGTTAAGGTTTTGACGGGGGCGGTGTGTGGTACATTTTCAAGCTTAGGGTAGGGACAGCCGCAATGGCGGCAGGGAGCACGGGGGGAAGGGGGCCCTATCCTCACAGATTTCCATCGGAATCAAACCCACTGCCTGGAGCGCCCTCCTGAAGCCCCTGTCCGTCCCCCGGCAATAAGAGTTTCTCCAGGTCTGACCCAGACGTGCACCCCCGCCCTCATAACGGACATCGCCAATGCGCACGCTCTTAAAATATCCAGCGACCGTGAGGCGGGAAACGCGGCGCCCTCCAAGCAAACCCTAAGGAGGCTATGGAAACCCCTAGTCCTCAGCTCCTAACACCACCTCAACCCAGACAGCCGGGGTCAGGGCGCCGTCTCACCAACACCAGCTTGCTTGCGGCAAAAGATCAAATCCGGATGGTGTTTAGCCATAACTCCTACCCAAGAGGGCTACCGGAAGCTTCGACGACTTCCGTCCGACCTTTAACCCCTACGGCTCCTGCCTCCAGGTCGCCGTGTGGTTGGTCCTTAAGGCTTCCATCAGGCTTTACAATCTTTGCATCAAATCCCGCTAGTTCTCGCGGGAGTTTCCCTCACGGCTAGAAGGCCAGGTCCTGGCAGGTCCATGAAGGTCTTAAAAAGATACTTTCCCAGATTTGGAGGGCATAGATAACCAAAACTTACTCGTAGACAAAACATTTTTGTGCCTTTTATTCTTCAAGTATGTTCAGTGCTGGGCGTTGAACCCAGGGTCTTGTGCCTGCTTCTAACAAGCGTTTGTACGAAGCTCTTTTTTCCCTTCACAAGTCAGTTCTTTTCTAAGAGCTCCGCCCACTGAGTTCTGTAGGGCTTTGGCGCCTCTAGAGAGGCCCCGCCTTCGCCCTGACGCCTTGCTTTTTCAAGCCACGCCCCTGCCCAGAGGCTTTAAAGGGGCCTCGTGCAACGTCACTTTCACGCGACCTCATCTTTGTCAGTGCACAAAATGGCGCCTTACAGCCTACTGGTGACCCGGCTGCAGGTGAGCGAGCTCAGGGCCTTTTGGATTACGGGGGCGGGGTGCCTCCTCCGATGCCTGCGGCGCTGGGCGAGGCAAAGCCAGGCTGGCCCGACAACGGGCGGACTTTTCGTATACAAGCGCCGGTTACGGGCCCGGCGCCCTTGCCCGTTCCTCCGTTGCCCTAGGTCAAGGCTTCCCTGGCGCTCAGCTCCCTGTGCCCTGTCCCGCCCCGCGACAAACGTGTGTCTGAGCAGCTGCGGCCTGCAGAAGAGTAGGGCCCCTCTTTTTCCTTTCTCAAAACCGCTCTTCCTCTTCTCTAGGGTACCCTTCTATTCCTCAAGGTGAGGGCAAGGTGACTGGGGGGCGCGGTGGTTTTTGAACCCTCTAGGCCCGGTGCCTGAAGCCCTCGCTTCTGTTCCCTTAGTAGCAGAGACTTGCTAGCCAGATGCATGTGCGATTACCAGGCCTGCAGTCTGGAGAGGCTGCTACCCCCGTACCACCTTTAAAGGGCCCCGCGGAACCTAGAGCTGAGAATGGGAGTGTGCCCGGCCTAGTAAACAGTACTAATGACAGTCGTTTCTCACTGGCACCCGATTTCAAGACCGTTTTAGTACCTTCTGATACCACTTGATTGAATAATCATCCGATGAAACAGATGTGAGATGAATTTTCCCACTTGATAGGGGAGGAAACTGCAAGAAAGTCGATAAAAGTTCTGGCTGTCAGATTGTCACCGAAGTTTTCTGTGACCCGAGCGATTATCCTGTTAACCCCTTCTCTTGTTCGTATCCGCCGGTCCTCACAGAACTTTCTGATTCAAGGTGTAGTTGTTTGTATTTGTTGGAATACAGAATAGAGTATTTCGAGCTCACATTAGTTGCTTTTCAAATACTAGATGGGAGGGTAAGGAGACTCATCAGTTTGACCTTGACTGTCCTATTTGAAGCCATTTAGAAAGTTGACTGTCAGGCGTTATTTCACCCCTAACTTGACTGTCACATGAAGGTGTTATATTCAGAAGTTTGATGTCAAATGTGTATTTTATTAATAAAAATAAAGCAAGTGTCTGTAGACATTCTGTGTCAAGCCTTTACAATTACCTCTGTAAATCTTCCTTGGATCAAGTGGCATAAATTTTGATTGTAGAATTAATAAAAAACTTGTGTACTGTATTCTTCAGGAAGCATTGTTACTTGGAGTTATTTTCATCACCTTGCTTAAATTTAAACCATACAAGCATTTTTCTGAAAATATTTGTGATGTCAGTTCGGAGAAAAGATAAGGCACTTGTACTTGTTATCTTTTAAGGTCTTTTGATTCTCTAGGTTGATGATGTAGACATAATTGTTTCTTCTTTTCCTGCTGTCCTATATTTTCCCTGGAGTCAGGTGAGATTATTGGATATAATAAGTGACTTATTGAACTTGGAGGAAGGAATAATGTTCCCCTTTTTTTGTCTTTTTGAGACAGGGCTTCACAATGCAGTTCAGGTTAGCCTTGAATTCACTTTGAAGCCCAGGCTGGTCTCGAATTTGTAGCAGTCCTCCTGCCTCAGCCTCTCAAGTACTAGGATTACAGGAGTGCGCTACCATGCCTAGCTCTAATGTTCCTTTTTTTTTTTTTTTAACTGAAAAGGATCTTGGAAATTATTAGTGTTAGAATATTGTAAAAAGAAAACTGAAAAAAAAAAAAAAAAAGAAAACTGGGCTGTAGTTCATGTTCCACCCTAGTCCTGTGACCTTGAGTATGTACTCATTCCTTTGTTATCAGTTGGGGATGATCTTTATTAAATAAATATTTATTGAGTATTTGGATTCCTTTAATGTGTTGAGCAAGTGGAATGTGTTTACAACCATGTAGTTTAACCTCTTCTATAGATGGAGAATCCAAGACCTTGAGAGCCTGGGTGACTTCTAATAGCAGAATAGGATTAAAATCCAAGACTACTTGTATATTCATTTAGCTAAAATGAGTGAACAGTATTATGTATTCACTTTGAATTATAACACAGTGCCAGGCTGTCTGAAGTAATGACCAGCTAACAGGGGCTGAAAAACTCCCATGTTTACCTCTTTTGTGCTTAGATACATGTGAGATGGTTACTTAGTAGTCATGTTGCAGAATCTGACTGATACAGTTCTTCCTAGCTCACCACATATTACCTGAGCAGCCACTGCTTGCTCCAGAAACATTGTTAAGCAAAGAAGACAAACCTTGCTGTCATGGAGTATCCACTATATCTTGATGTATCTATGGGGAAAGCCTTGGATACATTTCTCCACCAAAATAATTTCCTTCTACCCTTGAGTGGACCCAAGGTAAAGGTAGATGATAGAATGATGCCTATTACTGCTGCCACTAAGAGTGGCTATCATTTACCTTTTTACTACTAAGAGTACCTATCATTTACCTTACTGTGTGCCAGTAATAGCTCATGACTGTGAGATAAGGCAGACCTGTTATCTTTTTTATAGACAAAGAAAGAAGATTAGAGAGGAAATGTAGTATAATGATTAGTGGCAAGGACTGTGGCATCTGACTGCCTAGGTTTGAATCCTGGCTCTAATGCTGAGTAGCTGTTACTTAGAACAAATTACTCAACCTCTCTGGCCTGTTTCCTTATCTGTAAGATATAACAATAGGATGTCCGTTTTAACCACATAGTAGATACAGAATATTTAGTACATTGTCTGGCTTCTACTGAGTACTGTATATTTTACAAAATTAAATAAATTTGCATAGAGTTTGATCCCTAGTTGTTGGCAGATGTAATTTGGACCTACATTTTTCTGATTGTGAAGCCTGAAGTGTAGCAGCTGACACTGTGTTGCTTCTCTTTGCCATTAAGATTGCAGACACCAGCTGAGCGTGGTGGCACATACCTGTAATCCCAGCACCCTGGAAGCTGAGACTGGAGGATCATTGGGAGTTTAAGGGCAGCCTTGGCTACAAAGTGAGCTGAAGGCCAGCCTGAACTGCATAGTGAGACCCTGTCTCAAAAGGCCAAAAAAAAAAAAAAAAGATTGCAGGCACCATTGAGGTTCCATAGCTTGAGAATAGTGCTGAGCTGAGTTTTACTGCCTGCTGGGTAGAAAGATAAAAACAATAAAAGAGCCAGGTGTGGAAGTGCCCACCTGTAATTCCAGCACTCCTAAGGCAGGAGGATCCCTACAAATTTGAGACCTGCCTGGGCTACTATTGAGTTTAAGGCCAGGATGAACTACATATCAAGACCCTGTTTCAAAAGAAAAGAAAAGAAAAGAAAAGAAAAGAAAAACAGGAAAATGGAAGGGAGGATTTTTCAAAAGCTGTATTTGCTCTTTAGTTTTTAATATGCATTTTTATGCATATGACTGTGGGCAGTAAATGAGAGAGGTTGGGGCTTTAAATATGTTTCTCAGTCTGATTTTGCCTGAGCTACTGGGATTTGAGTTCTCTGTGAACTTGGGGAAGTCAGAGTTCTTATGTAACCTTGGGAAGGTCATGCAGTCTCTGTCATGTGAATCTGTAATAGCTAACTACAAAGAAATCTGATGTCTTTTGCAGAAGTTTTCTATAATGTGCGATGATTTAAAAAAAAATCTTTCTTTGAATTTTAAACAGGTTATTCTGGTCGAATGTTTACTGCAGTGCTTTCCTGGGGTCATCTGTTGACTTGAGTGAGTCAATGAATTGGTATCCAAAGGCAATGATATCCCAGGCCCAAGGGGAGCACTCCATTGCTTTCCAAACTAACTACTCCTGAAATGTGTATTTTTAAATTTTTTTTCCCTAAAATGTTTATTGAAAGCTTAATGCCTAGCACAATTCTAGACTTTGACAATGCAGTAGTGAATAAGGATAGGGAAGATAAACTGGGTTCTGCAGTGCATGTGTGTAATCCCGTAGTCAGGAGGAGTCTGAGGCAGGAGGATTGCTGTGAGTTTGAGGCCTGCCTGGGTTATGTAGTGTGTTCAAGGCCAACTTGAACTACATAGCAAGACCCTGTCTCAAAAAAAAAAAAAAAAAAAAAAAAAAAAAGAATTGGGGAGCTAAAACTGGCCTGGTGGTATATGCCTGTAGCCTGCCTGAGGATTCCAGAGTCTCAGGTAGGAGGGCAGATAAGAAAATTGTAGCTGCTGAGTGCTATGAGGAAGGTAAAATAAGATAGGGAGGTAGAGTAGGGTGGGAGGCGGTCGGAGCAGCCCTCACAGAAGAGGTGACATTTGAGCGAAGACTCAGTAGTGAGGCAGCTACTGAGCATTTTGGAAGAAGAGGTTTCAGGCATAAGGAGCAGCATGTGCAGAGCACCTGAGCTAGGTGTAAGCTCGGGACAGGGAGAGGACAGACGCCGAGGGTGGTTGGGTGTCTAGGGTGGCAGTGGCTTCGGCAGAGGTGTGGTCATGCAGGCCTCAGTAAGGAAGTTGGATTGTACTCGTAGTGTAGTGAACATCCACTGGCAGGTTTCAAGCTGGGTTCCACGCCTGATTTACACTGGAGAAGAATCATTCGGGCTATTGTGTGGACATG